TCTTTGCGTTAGAATCATTATAATCAATCTTTCATTTCTTTCCTATGAATCAAAAATGTTAAAAAAACTACCTCAAATATAAAAAATATTATTACTTATATTGTTATACTTTAAACCTGGGCTTAAAGGGAAGTTTTAAATTTTATTTTTAATCAGTTTGAGTATGACTGGAATCTCAATCTGGCTATTTCGAAACTGGGACTTTTCAAGTAAAAGTTTTACATAAAAATTATTTTTAAATAAACTTTTACTTTAATGTTCAGTTGGAGCAATTGACATCGAGCAAAAGACCTAAAAAATATTTTTATTTTTAGCTTCTCAAACAATACATTAGAAATTTGTAATTCATTAAAGATAACATTTTTAAGTAGTTAAAAACAAAGAGCAATGCTTTCACCATAAACCAAGAAATTCTTCTCATAAAAGGTTTCAAAATATCTGCTAAAATTGGACTTTTTAAAAAAATTTCCTATAATTTACAATAACGGATTAATAGTTCATATTTGTTTTTAAAAAAAGGAAATCGACAACAGGTTAGCAGAGGCTACTAGAATCGCAAAGAATGCCCGGCACGTGCTTGGGAAGACAAAGCGATGGAAGAAAGGTAAAGCACAATTAGCAATTAGTACTGACCTTTACCGATCTGAAATATATGGGCCGATTATAGAAGAAATAGAAGAAAACTGATAAATAGTCGGAATAAAGAAAGAAGAATAAAGATGGGGCGTGTTATAAAAGTACCGTAGCTATTGTAAGCTTCAAATTAACGATAATTACATTAGGAATTAACTTTTAGTTAAGCCGCCTTTACAATAGACCATTGTCTGGCTCCTATTTGCATCCCCATTACACCGGGATAGTTGTATATCCTCGAGGGGTGTCGCTCAGGAGTGTCCTGTCGTATCCATCCTCTTCGGATAAGGGAGTTCCCACACCTCCGGAGGAAGACCGCTATACCAACCTCTTGGATGTAATTGTTAATTGACTGTCCCTAATTACCACTAATTTAGTAGAGGAGACGTCGCAGAGTTCTCCCAAGCGTTACTTCACAAATGAATCAGAAGTGGTAATGAGGCAAAGTACCTGAGAGGAAAGAGTGCAATTTTTAACCGCCAAAAATTTTGGCGGGTTTTGCATTTTTGAGAAGAGAGAGATAGTCCATGGCACAGAAGAGCTCTTTCTATCAAATTATTGACATCCTAAACATTCATGAATAAGTTCGTCTTAAGTTACCATTACAACTTTTTTATTTGGGGCGGGGTTAGTCGAACGTTTGTGCACAGCACCGCCGTTGCTCATTGAATTAAAATAATAATTGAATTAAAAAAGTCACGAATTCGCCTCAAGATGCCAGGGGAGCCTTTAAAATCCCAGCCCTCGTCCCTGGCATGGGAAAACCCCGTATAGCCTTGAAGGCGAGGAAGGGGATTACACAAAAAAAACAAAAAAACTATTTACTGAAATTCTAGGAGTTTTGGTTGCTTTCAGTCTGGAGATCAGTAAACTTTGCTATTTAATGATTTATTAATGACTGCTATTTAAGTACTAACAACCCATTTTTGATGAATCGTAAGATAATTAGATCTCAAAATTATTATGGCTTACCGAATTATTGGGTTTTACGACGTGACTTTCAGCCCCAACATGTCAAAATAACGAGGTCATATTGACCAAGCGGCCCAATATGTTTTAGGTCACCTTTCTTCGCTTTTTGTACTTTTATTTGTAAATGTAAGGTAGCACTACGCTTATAAAGTACTATTTCCATCTTAATCAATGTCAGTCATTCTCTCAAAGGAACAGTGTATGTCCGAATTAATTGAAGAAAAAACCTATTATAAACGTTGCCATAAGTGGGAGGTATCTCAGTGTACAATGATATTATAAAATGGGTAATTCAGACAACGGAATTTCAAATATAGCACATAAAGAATATTTTTTTTTGTATTTTTGATTCATCCATTCATTCGTAAGGTTGGGAACTCAACACAAAAAGGAAACACAATTAGATGTTTCTAATAGTTTAAGCAACTAAAATATATAATTAAATAACAATATTAATATAATTTATTGCATATAGATCCATTATGTGAGGTATGGCTGATTTCGTTTGTTTAGTATTTGTCTGCAATATGCTTAGGTCATTAACCCCAACGGTTTATTTAAAATATAAAAATTTGTAAAATATTTGAGTGTATTCATTTTTATCGATTGTTCTACTTACACATTTCTCTTTGAAGAGTGGAAAGTAAAAGTGAAATAAAATAAATTAAGAGTAAAAAGTAAAATTTGTAATTATAGGTTAAATGAAAAAAAAAGTGAAAGTGAAAGTTTTCCCTATTCTTAATTTAATATTTAATTTCGAACAGTAAACTATATATTTTTTACTGTATCTGATATTTAAATAGAACGAATAATGAAAAATACCTGCCTGTTATATCAATTTCCTTATTACCAAACCAACTTTCTGTTAGATTCAGGAAAAAAAAAATTGATACTATGTTTTTCAAAACAAAACAAACAAAAAAACGAACGAAGGTTATCACTACGTAAACCATTAGCAGATCGCAGATCCTATGGCTTTGTAAAATAATTGAAAATCGCAAATGTCATGGACAGCACAGATGCCATCGTAAAAGACAGTAGATCTAAAACTTCTAAATGTCATGGGCGAAAGTTACGAGTTTAAAAAGTATAGAACAGCTTCCATTAATTAAATGGAATTATTATTAAAAATATTTTAATTAATGTAATAAATAAATCAATCGCTTTTTTTCATTTGTATAAAACTCATAGTTTTAAATAATTGTTTAAAAATTAATCGTGAGAAAGTTCCGAGTATATATACGTATATATGTGTAATAATATATAAATATAAATAAATAAAACCTGTTTCCTATAACCCATGAAGGGTATTAGGTTCCGTACTATGTAGGGAAGGTACTGTTTCTAGGTCAACGGTTGTGCAAGGAGGTGATTTGGTCGAGATCACACTCAACCGCCTGGTTTTCCCTCTGAATTAATTATTAAATCCTAGATATTTAATAATTTAGCCATTTATAAAAGCTGGGTGTGCTCCAATCCCAGGGTTAATCCACGGTCGATGAAACAGAATAAATAATTTATTTATCTTCCATTAGTCGGGATTCGAACCCCCTCTCCAAGTATGGAGAGCTACCCTGCTCACCATACTTGTGTTATATTACTATTTTTTTTTTTTTTTTTGTATTGGATTATTAAAATTTAGTTAATTGGAGAATTTAATTTTTATTATAAAAAATTCAATCGTTGGTTTCATTTATATTTTTAGTAAAATAACTGGTTTATACAACTCGTAATTTAAATTATTTTTTTTATTAAATTAATTAATAGTAAGGTCCACGTATAATAATAAAATAAAATATAATAGTAATAATAAAATAAAAATATCGATAAATTATAGTTGTGTTATATCACAAAATTAATAATTGTTAAGCAAAACCTCTACTACTACAACATATGGAGTATCTTGGATTCAATACTTTGTAAAGAAGTACTATTTCTTTATCTACAGTTCGTGCAAGTAAGTTATTTGATTACGATCAACTACCACTTTTTTTTTTCTGCAAAACAATTGTATAATTAAGAGACTCCACTTTATAGGAGCTGGGTGTATCTCAGGAGGGTCTTCCGACCATAGGATCGATCCACGGCTTAAATATAATAGCAGAGTAAATAATTACTTGCAATAGCCAGACCCGAACCCGCGACAATTAATTGTTAAGTAAATAAATGCTAATAACTTTTTTACATCAAACGCACCAGTTTTTCCCAAAAAGTTCTAGTTTTTTTCCATCCTATTCACAATATTTCTAAACAATGAAAAACGTCCGTTTAACAACATATTTTGATAAATATTATTTTTTTAAAGTTTGTTCTTTACCGAAATGTAAATTTAACTATTTTTCTTTTTTTGTTTTGTTTTTTAAGGGAAACGTCGTACTTAAAAGGTGAATGGTAAACTTTTGTATGAAAACAGACAGTTTTATTGGGTTCAACAGCCATATGTACTTAGGTACTTATTGAAGGACAGGCCGTCTTGCAGGTTAACAACCTACGTTTTTGTAAATTTTGACTTTATTTATGTATACAAAAACAATGTAAGTCCAAGAAAATTAAACAAATCCATTTACATATCAAATATAGTTGCAACAATTTTTCCCATTTCATAAATGGAAAACTCTTCCGTTCCATGTTCCATAATTTTGAACTATTAACATTTGTTTATTAGTTACTAAATCTGTACCCCAGTGGTAAAGGACACCATGTCAAATATTCGTATTTGTTAAGAGAGCCGATTTATCATACTTAGGTACTAAATTATTTAATAAAAAAAAATACATGATTTTCTTTACCTCTTGGGTACAGATTTAAGGTTATGAATTGTCACTAAATGAATTTTTGCTAAAAACCACGATATCCACTCTGAAAATATTTTTGGTAAGAGTAAACACTTTTGTGTTTTTGTGACGATATGAACTACTCACTTTCTATTCTGTTCATACCAAATTCTATATTATTAAAATTAATTACTATTTATTTCAAATAATATGTCATTTTATTCACTGTTCAAATAATCCAACATTTCACAAAAAATTTACACATAGTCAGGGCATAATGCCATGATTTTTAGGTATTAATTGGTAATAAAAAAAACCACGATAATATTGAAATATAAAACGCTATAAAATATGAAGTGCAGTTTCCTACGTAGAAGACGATCCCAGACACAGAAGATGTGATGATACCTTGCAACCGTGACCACTACACAGGCCAAGCAAAGAAGAACTTTTTTTATCCCCCTCCCCACACAGAAGATTCGATTTGGTCCTCCATGGCTGCAAGAATCCTTCCTGTTACGTCTCACACTTGGCTTAGTTCTAAGCACCACGACAGAACTTTATCAGCAAAATAGATGGATTAAATTTAAATTAATTAATTATGAATGTAATAATGCTTACTTGTTTAGCCCTAATAAGGGCTGCTTCAATGTCCTCATCTTCACGGAGTCTTTCTCTATGAGCTTCCTTTACGAGATCGTCGAAGTACTCTTCATATTGGGACAGCCGTTGGATCTGGAAGAGATTAAAAAAATCTATTAAATAATATAAACGTAAGCATAAAAAAAAAAAAAATGTGAAATTGGTATGAAGGTATAAAATACAAACACTTAATATGCATTAAAATTAATCAGAGATAATTATAATTAGTTATATGAACATTTAACGTTAAATTTCAGAAACAAAATAATATCTAAAACGTGGATTCATTTACTTTCACTTTAGTAAATTATTATTGCTAATTATTATTATTGGGGGTTATTAACTTCTGTCAACTCGACCCAACTCTTGCTACTTAAGAACTTAAAGAACTTTAAGTCTTAGAATATTAAGAACGTCAGGTAGAAATCCTGTCTAAAATTTACTTAGACTAACTTTTTAAAATGAAGAATAGCTCGATATAAATGATATTGTTCTTAAAATCATTAGTGATATTATTTATGAATCAAGATGGTAATTAATAAATTCATTTATACATATAATCCTTGAGTACAGCGCTTTCGCAATAATTTCCCATTTTTAACTTGAGATTTGTTCACTGAAACGAGAAAGGTTGGGGTCGTTTAAGTGCTTTCATTTTTTTTTAAACTTGACTTTCGAGGTTAAAGACCCTAAACATTATGTTATTAGTACTACACAGGTACAGCCTAAATTCTTTCATTAAATTTGATCCCCGAGACGGAAGGGCATCGACCCCAAACATTTACAGTAGTAGCTTAGACTACGAAGTTGATTTAGACTTCGATGGGTTTTCTTCTTGGATGTTTCACTCAGCATCTAAATTCGGCAACACCCAACTGGATTCTAAACAAAACTGTTGATTCCTGGTTATTCTCGAGGGCATCCTGATCCTATTTTAATAGTTTACTGCAACGCGGTGGGTTGGACGTTGTACGTCAGCAGACTTATCTTTGGAGGAATGATCAAAAGAGGAAAATGGTAGAATCTGAACGTATGAAACAAAATTTCAACATTTTCGGAATGTTATAAATATAAGAAAAATGTAAACTCGTTTTAATAATTAATCAATATATAAACAAGATGGCGTTTAAATATTTCTAAAATAATAAGCTTGTCAGATCGAGGTCCGAAAGGAAATACATTCCTGCAAATCATGTAAAAAAATATAGGCATAAAAAAATAAATAAATAGAAAATAGCTTAAGGGGAATGGAGGAAATGGGTAGATTATTGGTCTAGAGACGGTTTTTGCTAATTTCTTCAAAGAATAATATATTTATTATTTTAATTCTTTAATTTTTTAAAAACATTTTATTGATAAATATCACAATCTGTCTCAGTTAAGGACACGATTCTTTTATTAGAAATAAATTTTATTTAAAAAAAAAAAATCACTTTTCAATAACATTGTGTAGAGAAAAATGGCTAAAATTAAATACTTTAACATTAAATGTTAGCAAAAACGTTATAAAATTTCAATTGAAAATTGCTTTATTTATTGTCCAGTTGGTTATTATATAGATCGTATGGCAGCAATGCCACCAGATAGGGTGAAAAAAAAATCAATTGCTTATTTCAGAAAAGAATATTTTTGAGAAAAAACTTTTTTATTTCCATTTTTTAAATATATAAACCAGCAAAATAATAAAGTGCAAACTTTTGTGAATTATTAATGCAATGTGTTTTTTTCTCTTCCGTCTAAATGATGCGTCTGTAAAAAATAAGACATTTTTTAACGATACTGAGAAAAAGATAGAAATCTATAAAGTAATATACTGTAAAAAATCAGTTCATAAATATTGTATGCATTTTATTTTTTTTTTACAATAAAAGATGTGCCTAAAAGTAATGGATTCTGAAATACTTTCCGACTCACAATCTGTAATAATTAAACGTGTGTCGATTTTTAAATAATCGATTCGATTATGCTATTTGTAATATATTGCATACATATATGTATAACATTTGTTTTTATGAATAAATTAATACAAACATAATTAAATTTGAATTATTTGAATTTTATTATTTAATTCGAATAAAGAGAAAAATGAATGAAATAATTATCACGATTTGTGCTTTAATTTTTACGTGATGTAAGACTAAAGAATTTTTGCAAACTTAAAATTGAAGTGGTTACATTTCATTCGAAAAAAGGCGATAAAAATCTGAAAAAAATCTTAATTAATTCTGGCAACGATAAAAAATATATATTATGCTGTATTATGTAATAATTATAAGACAAATCAACGCAAATACTAAAAAAAAAAATCAAAATATTTGGTTCTTAGTTCATTAATACATACACTGGCCAATTAACCTCGATAAGTAGATGAAGTCAAAATTATTACGTTCAAAAGAATTTCAAAAGTGATTTCCTCTTAATGATCCTCATTTGGGATTCCACTTTAATTGGGATAGTTTAATAATTTTATAGAGTTAAATAACTAGTGTTACAAAATGGGACGTTTAAATCTATCCGCTTGGAAGTTGTTGTTGTTGTTTTGCTGTTTTTTTTTCGCCTAGGAAGTCGTTGGAGAAAATGGCACTTCCTCGAGACTAGTGTGAAATGACGGATCGGCAGAAATGTTATCCGTTATCTCGCCGCTAAGGCATCTTCCGTCACCCGTCGTACGGATCCAATTTGGAAACAGAGGAAACCACTCAGTCCGACCAATTTAATACTCTTATCTATGGAATATATTATCCTCGCTCGGCCATTTTCATTGTTTCGCTTTTTCTTAAATTTAATTGAAAACTAGAATAATTTTTAATAAGATTGAAAAAAAAAAAAATGTCAGGACTTGCAATCCGTCATTTGTCAACAATCAACTACATACCCATCTCTAAAATAATTATTTATTTAGTTTTAAATTATATTTGCAATTGAGTTGTACCGCATCAAGCAAATATATTTCCATTTATTCTGTCCATTTTTTTCTTTTCTTGATATTTATTTACATTACAAGTAAGAGATCGTTAGTAGTGTTGCAAATAATCCGTGCAATAATGCACTTTGCAAGAACAAGACCAACACCACCTAGCTGTTGCCATATCAAGAACAAGACTGATAAAAAAAAATCGATTTTTTGAATAAAAATTGAGATAAAACAGTTATTAATACGTGACAATTTAATTAATATATGTAAATAATTGGTGAAACCAATATACTTTTGCATTTAACTCTTCTAATTTTGCATTCAGACTTAGTTAGGTTTCTTCCATCTTAAAAATTACAGTAATACTTCTCTAGTAATAAGCTAATAGTTAACAGCAATACTGTTGCAAGACCAAGACCTAGGTCAAGAATAAATTTGCAAGACCAAGACTCGTCTCGGTCTCGCATTTGATCAACAATAATCCTTAGAGATCTATCACTTCCTTCTTAGTCGTCGCTGAACCTCACAAGGTAACAGGGACAAAGAAAGAGACAGGACAAGTGGATTCGGATAATTGAGAGTAGAAGAGTTGAATGTTGTGTATTTGTTATTTACGAATAATTTTTCTGTTGCTACATATGCTATTATTTACGATTTTTGAAGTATTTTGTATTGTACGTTTTGAATTTTGTGAACGTGTTTTGAGGAATCCCGAAGTTCGACTCTGGATGTCCAAGTAGGTCTTAGTTCAGTGATGTAGATTGCTTGTTATGTTAAAGGGAGATGTGTAGTTCAAAAGACGTGTAAAGATGTCAAAAAGTCTTACGGATGGTCAGATCTTATTTTTTAAATTTAATGTGTATGTTCCAGGTAAGATTTCTATCCAATTATATACACCGTACATATGTTTTTGAGGGAACTGGGTTGTTTTCTATTGTTACAACAGGATACGAAACTTTCCGCAGAGAGAAACTAACATGACTTCATTTGAAGCCACTTATTTCAATTTTCCATTTTTAGGACTACTTTTCCAGATAGTAGAGCTGACTTTTCTTAGTTAGAATAATAAAAAAAATAAAGCGTTTCCTTGCGTAATCCAAATTCGCAAAAACTCAAAACTATAACTATTCTTTTAAATAGATTGATGGAGTAAGGAGTTGTTTATTGCCAACTGCCGACATGATAGTTCAAGTGCTGTCTATAAGTGACATCACAGGCGGATCTACGGGGGAGGGGGGCATTTGGACTGAGGCCCCTTTTCCGCTCCCCCCCCCCAAAAAATGGTAAAATATTACCATGTTTTTAAAAAAAAAAGTTAAAAACTATCTCTTAAACTATTATTGTTCGTGTAATTACATTTAATAGGACTTCAAGAATCACTTAAACACCATTTCATATAGGTAATTAGTTTCTTTCTTTTTTTCAAATTAATTATCGTTATATATATATATGAAAAAAAAACCTTTCGGGCTGAAGCCTCCCCTCCCCCATCCAGAATTAAATCCTGGATCTGCAAGTGAGTGACATAACGTAATATTTAATATAAGGCATTCCTCCTACCGTGTTTAATAATTTTAATCTTTTTTAATATGATTATACACAATTCAATGAAGTATATTTTATAATATTTAATTTTTACTAGCCGAAAGAAAACATCAAGATAGATGACCATTTTTTTTTTCTTTTTTTTTTTTGGCAAACTGTTGGCGATTCTTGTATACTTGATGAACATAACCTCCCGAGTATTCTCAAATTGGTGTCATAAATACGTGTGAGAAACATTTCTTTCTGACTGATCCCGCTCTAATTAGGGATATGATTAGCCTCCGGTCTACACGCAAAGGATTTTTTTTCAAACAAGAAAAACAAAAACAAGAATGCAGCATAAATCCAATAAACGGAGGGGGAGATAAGTATATAGATTACGATACCGAGATAAGGCCGGAGTTATTTTCGAATTTATAATATTTCGGAGGGACATGATGGCGTTGAGAGTTTGGAATGGCGCTTAAGTTGTGAAATGCAAATGGGGTCGGAGCGAGGGAATGTGGGACCGCTATCCGGCTCCTCGCGGCGATCCTATTCCTCCACTTTGTCATAAAACCAGGCTGATCTCCTCCGGTAGCGGCATTCCTTCATCGGCGCCGCTCTTCGCACTTTTCGGCCCGATACTCCGGTAGATAGCGAG